GCTTCTCCAGGAGAATGCTGTAGGAAATGGTGTCAAAGGCACTTTACTAAAGTCTGGGTAGACAGCATCCACAGCCTTTCCCTTGTCCACCAAGCAGGTCGCCTTGTCCTAGAAGGACATCAGGTCAGTCAAGCAGGACCTGCCTTTCACAAACCCATGATCTTTCAGTCTGTAATACATTGACTAAGGTTTGAATATGATTTCATGCTAGTTCTAGTCCTGGCAATGTTCCTAGCACTTCTTTCAGGAAGACATGTTACAGTACAGGAGATTCTAATTCACGGGTACTATACTGTTCCTTTCCTGAAAGTATTGCCTTAGGATGCAACACGTTCCTGAGAATGTGACCAATCTGACAACAGTGTCAATTTATTCAGTGCTGTTCCTCGATGTCATGCTTCGAGCTCAGCCAGCAGCCAAGCACCACACAGCCACTCGCTCACTCCCCCCCTCCTAGTGCAATGGGGAGGAGGATTGAAAAAAGTGAAAGTCATGGCTTGAGATAAGAACAGTTTAATAGCTAAAATAAAATATTATAATAATAACAATGAAAAGGAAGAAAACAAAAAGAGATGGAAATGAAACCCAAGAAAAGCCAAGCGATGCACAATGGAGTTGCTTGCCACTGCTGACCAATGCCTGAGCAGTGACCTGCCCCCCTGCCCAGCTCCCCCCGGTTTGTGCATGAACCTGACGTCCCACTGCGGAACATCCCTTTGGCTGGTTCAGGGCAGCTGTCCTGGCCGTGCTCCCCCCAGCTTCTTGAGCTCCTGCTTGCTGGCAGAGCATGGCAAACTGAAAAGTCCTTGCCTTGGGACAAGCGCTACTCAGCAACAACTGAAACATCAGGGTGTTAGCAGCGTTATTCCCACACTGAATCCAAGCCACAGCACTGTACCAGCTACTAGGAATAAAATTAACTCTATCCTCGCAGAAACCAGGACACTCTGCATGTAGCAAAATTATTTCAGCATTTATTCTTTTCTCATCTTGATTACTAAGTGCACTTTACTACTATTGTTCAAGTCAGTTAAGGATTCTGAAAGGCTAATATAAACCCTGTATGTTTTGGGGGAAAATTTAAGTGAAAGAGAACTGGGTTTTTAGGCAGATATTTTAAATTGTCCCGAAAAGTTCTAGTGTAGCCTGAAAGCACCTATCACAGTATTAACATGTGAAGTTAGGAGGTATTTTATGGAAGCTGTGTGAAAACACTAGCACAGTAAATTATGAAAACAAGAAATTGTAATAATAAGAAAGGATACTCAATTTTAGTGTTTGTTAACTACAAAGGCTTTATTTGCATTTACTGAGAATGTATGTAAACTGTTGACACATTATAATAGTCCAACCTTACGGTACTACATTATAAGATCTAATAGTGCTACTCAAAACTGGATGTTAATTTGATACAACTTGATAAAACCCTGTATCAGTGATGATAAAAATGGTATGTCATTATTTAAGCAACGCTGAATTTACGAAGTAGCAGCAGAACAGCTCAGGAACCTGCAGACTGCCCCATCAAGGTTCAGAATCTCTAGTTAGTCACCTTGTGCAACAGACAACTTCAAAATAACCAGTCACCGTAATGTTAAATAATTGTCTTCATTGTTTAGTTTCTTCTTTCATTCCTTTCCTACTGTAAGGAAGACAGCAGTTGTCATTATTCCTATCTACATAAACCATAGAAACTATTCCTGTTAGGGTTAAGGCATTTGAAATAGAGCTCTGTTTTCTTCAGGAAGGTGCAATGTCATAGCACGAGAGGTTACCTTCTTACCAGGTAGCACAACAGCTATTTTCTCTTCCATGCTTTTTGACTAAAATCTGCTACGTTATTGTTGAGGAGGTTATAATTTCACTATTGTCTGGAAGAGGTTATCATTCCACTATTGTACTAGGTAATCCAGCTGCATTAAGGTATATCCACACCTTTCACAGCTTCAAAGGCCAGTACTAGAAATGACTAGTTAATTCAGAGAAAACACACACTCAGAAACTTTTACAGCCTTACCCTATAGAAATCATGTTTTCTTTTTGAGTTACTTTTCGTGTTATTCCACTAAAGTTGAAGTGTCAAACCACATTGAATGGCTGTGAGTAACCAAAGCGGGAGATAATTTTTTGCGTTTCATTGTCTGCATTGCACAGTGTCAAAAGTTGAATGAGCAATTCAGCAAATTTGGGACGAAGTTTTAAATGTATTGTCTCAAAGACGTGAACAGGGCTACCATAAAATCCCTGGAAACTTGAAAATACTGTATTTTTTTTTCGCCTAGCACTAAGTATTACTATCATCTGCTGCTCTAGCAATAACACTAATAAAAAAACCCCAAACCTTACTATAGCGTAAATCTCCTGAGTAACTACTTTGAACTGCATGCGTTTTCAATCATTTTTGTAGCATTTGTACTTTCTAAAACAAAGTTGTCTCCCTGACTTATTTAGTGCATTGGATTTCAATTGAAAGTATATGAGAATTTCTGAAGTGTATTAAATAAACTATAAATGTTTAACCACAGGATTAAATCTAAAGGAAATCAATATAACTATTTTATTGACTAAGGAAGTTCCATTTAAATTAGGCTCTACTAGTGACATCTGGTAGTCCTATTTAAGATCAAATGCTAATCATCGTTGTAACTCCTGTATGATAAAATGCAGAAATAAACTCTATCTCCAAATCTTACAATCATGTATTTACTCATAATACCAAAGCATTTATTTAAATCTCCCCATCGGTTTCAAACGAAGCCTTGGAAAAAACCATTGGCTCCCCACCATGCATTTGGTCTTCACAGCACACGGATTGAGGGCAGTGTTCTGGTTTGTCGAGTCGCACAGGGCCCTCATATGAAGGTATGGTGAGCAGAGAGTCAATGTTTCTGACAAAATGGAATGACATCCTCTGCTAAATGATCATGGGATCCTGGCATGAATTTTAATGTGGGAATTGATAAATCATAACTAAAGCTGACTTACATCTGCATGCGTCTGGGTAAAAAGCAAGACTATCAGAGGGAGAACACATCTGTCCTTGAAATGTATGGGGTTTTGTACACAAGATAGAGAAGTAAATAGGCCAGCAGATGTTCCTTTAGTGAATGTAACATAGGTGGTAAGGGCTTTGCTCTTTCCATTGGCATTATTAGAAAGCAGATAACAGAGCAGATTTTATTTTTTCGATAAAACGTCAGAGAGAGGAGGTTTTTTTCAATGCCAGAGCAAAGGAAGAGTCTCGCAGCGATCTGTCATCTTCCCTCTTCTGGTTAAGTGTGGCATCTGATATGGGACAAGGAACTGCATTTTTATTTTTTAGTTCCAAGGAAAGAGGTATTTTGGCTGTGTAGT